AACCCCCCCAGCTCTCCCAGCCTGGCTCCAGAGCAGAGGGGCTCCAGCCCTGGGAGCAGCTCTGTGGCCTCCTCTGCTGGGTGTGAACCAGCCGGCCCCGTGGCCACCACACACCCCACGGTGTCTGCACTGGTGCCACCAGCCCTGGGCCGGGGAGGAAACGTGTCTGCAAACAAGAAGTGAAACTGCTCTGCTCTGCTGTCCCGCTCAGGCGGCAGGGCCGGGGGAAGGAGGGTTTAAGGGTGATCAGCTGGCCCGGAACAGCAGGGCTGCCAGGCAGGACAGCAGAGCTGCCAGGCAGGACAGCAGAGCTGCCAGGCAGGGCGGGCACTGCCACACCACAGCCAACCCCAAGGACGGGGGGCTGTGATCAGCCACAGCTGGAGGCTCCCGGGCTCCATTCCTCTTCTCCCCAGGAGCTCCCTCCTCTGCTCTGCCCCTTCCCCTCGTCCTCTCTCCTGCTTTCTCTCTTCTCCCCTCCTGCAGAGCTGTATTTTCCTCTCCCTCCCCATTTGCCCCCTGTAACTGGAGGCCGCCGGTACTTCCCCGTCAGGAGCCGGTTCCTCCCCCCCTTCCTGCCCTGGCACAACTGCAGTTGCAACACGAGCCCCGACGGACGAGCAGCTTTTGCAAGACAAATTCCTGTTCCTCACGGCCAATTCCTGTCCCTCACACACTGAAACCCTGACAGCCCTGGGGAGCTGCACCCTCTCTGACAGGGTTAAAAGCAGTGCCAGACTCGGGGCTGGCAGGGACACGGGACCCCTGCTCCCCTCTCCACACAGACCCAGCCTTCCAGCCCTTCACATGGAGCTTGCCCTGGACACGGTCCCAGGTTCGGCCCTGGAGGAACCCCGTGGGGACTCTTGGTGGCTTCCTCTGCTGAAGGACAGGACACTGCAGGACCAGAGCTGTCCCCTCCCTGTCCCCTCCTGTCCCTCCGGGGCTGGGGGCAGCAAAGGTGAACAAAAAGTCCCCACAAGGGACACAAATGGTGGCAGAATCTGTCCCCAGGGTGCTGTGACCCACACGGAGGGATCACCCGTGCCCTGGCCTAAAGCAGCCCCATGAACCTCAGCCCAGGGGGCTCAGCTGGCACTGCCCAGCCTGTCCCTGCTCCCCGAGCTGGCAGTGACACTCGGATCAGGGAGGAGGATGTGGCAGTGGCACCTCCTGGGGCCCTGCTGTCCCTCCCTGCTGAGTCAAGGCAGCCACGGGGGTCACAGGAGCTGGGCCAAGCCCACTGGGGGCCACCAGCCGTGGGCTTGGAGCCCGAGGAACCCAGACAGTGAGTGGGACAAGCTCCAGGAGAGCCCGATCAGGCTGGAGGATCCATGGGAGTGATTCCCAGCAGGAGCCCAACTCAGTCACGGGACAGGGCAGATCTGCAGAGTGACAGTAAGTGCCCCTGACCAAGGGTGAGGAGCGCTGGACCTGCTTCACCCTGACACATCCAGTGTGGGAGCTGTGTCACCCCACAGCACCTCCCCCTTCCTCTTCTTCGGAGCTCCCCGTCACCCTCATGCCCCAGACAACAGCTCCATCCTGTGGCCCCACGCAGGGCTGGCACAGGGACACTGCCCCATCCTGGGGCTGGCACAGGGACACTGCCCCACCCTGGGGCTGGCACAGGGACACTGCCCCACCCTGGGGCTGGCACAGGGACACTGTCCCATCCTGTGCTGGCACAGGGACACTGCCCCATCCTGTGCTGGCACAGGGACACTGCCCCACCCTGGGGCTGGCACAGGGACACTGCCCCATCCTGGGGCTGGCACAGGGACACTGCCCCATCCTGGGGCTGGCACAGGGACACTGCCCCATCCTGGGGCTGGCACAGGGACACTGTACATCCTGGGCTGGCACAGGGACACTGCCCCACCCTGGGGCTGGCACAGGGACACTGCCCCATCCTAGGGCTGGCACAGGGACACTGCCCCATCCTGTGCTGGCACAGGGACACTGCCCCACCTTGGGGCTGGCACAGGGACACTGCCCCACCCTGGGGCTGGCACAGGGACACTGCCCCACCCTGGGGCTGGCACAGGGACACTGCCCCATCCTGTGCTGGCACAGGGACACTGCTCCTGGCAGCCTCAGGGCAGGGCTGGCCCTGAGAGCTCCTCTCTCCTTGAGGAGACACTCAGTTTTGGGGTGACACACCCCCCAAGGGCGGCTCCCCTTCACGAGCAGGGCAGTTCTGGGGCAGGAGGAGAAGGGCGGGGGGTGGCACCGTGCCTCGGATGGCACTGTGCCATGGGTGGCACGTTCAGTCACAGTGTCACTGTGTCCCCTGTTCCTCTACCCAGGGATGAGCAGATTCCTCTGCTCCTCGGGTAGTGGAATCACAGAATCATCAAGGGTGGAAAATCTCTCTGAGATCGAGTCCAACTATTCCCCAGCACTGCCAAGACCACCACTGACCCCTGTCCCCAAGTGCCACATGCACCGGCTGTTAAATCCCCACAGGGATGTGACTCCACCCCTGCTCTGGGCAGCTGTGCCAGGCCTGGACAGCCCTATCCAGGAAAGAACCTTCCCAATATCCAACTTGACCCTCCCCTGGCACAGCTGGAGGCCGTTCCCTCTCCTCCTGTCCCTTGT